ATTCGAGGTGATCAAGATCCGGTTGTTTTGTTGTAATCCGCTTTCCCTTGCAAAAAACACTATAAAATGAAATTTCTTGTTCAAATATTATCAAATTTCAAGAATCCCTTGTAAAAAATAAGGTAAAGTGGACATTCGCGCGCGCAAGACGAAATCCTTCCAAAAGCTTAGTGTTCGGAGCGATTTCAACATAAAAACATCAAAAAACCAATGGTTTTTCAACAAAAAAAATGTCAAAATCTCATCCCGCGCGCTCTTGCGGATTCGTAGGAAACCCAACACTTTTTAAACATTTCTGTCAAACGGGCTTTTGCGAGCAACTTTTTCGAACTTCTGCGACAACGGTTGCGCACCTGCCAGGGCCATCATCCCTGTCAAATAATACCATGCGGGACAGATTCGTTTTTTTGCGGGACATACACCGCCCCGAATAAGTGACCAAGTTCTGTGGGTGTGTACCCCGCGCCAGTGTAGTAGCCACGGTCGTCCGCACGCCACGAAGTGAAGTGTCCCAACGTCATAGGGCGGGAAGCTGGGTTTGGGTGGTCGCGAAGAGTCGTTTGGATATTTGGTAGAGCTTGTAATGCCCCCCCACGAAGTGGGGGTATTGCCTGGTGTCGTATGAAAACCCTGGCACTGGGGAGAACACCACGCGTTCGGGTAAAATGATTGTTGTTGTTGTTGTTGTTGTTGTTGCTGCTGCTGCTGCTGCTGCTGCTGCTGCTGCTGCTGCTGCTGCTGTTTTTTTTTGGGGGGGGGCTAAAAATCAGAGGTTGGGGGGTGAGATCGAAGTGGAACGGAGAGCCCCCCACCGGGAAATCGGTTTCGGTTTCGTGTTCGTGCGTGCCGTGCGTGCGGGCGAGGCGAAGCTGCGTGGGCGGGCGAGAGGGAAGTCTCCTGTGGGTGAGGCGCGGCCGGACCAAATGATTCTCCCTCCGGCAAGCGGTGGCCCGCGGCGTCCCGCCGGTGTCCCGCCGGTGTCCCGCTTGTGGCTGGGCCCCGGCCGGACCAAATGATTCTCCCTCCGGCAAGTGGTGGCCCACGGTGTCCCGCCGGTGTCCCGCCAGTGTCCCGCCGGTGTCCCGCCGGTGTCCCGGTGTCCCGCTGGTGCGAAAACGATAGTGAGACCGATGACGAAATCGATTGTGAGATCGATAGTGAGATCGATCATGAGACCGATAGTGAGATCGATCGTGAGATCGATAGTGAGATCGATAGTGAGATGAATAGTGATATCGATTGTGAGATCGAGTGATATCGATAGGGAGATCGTTAGTGGGATCGATAGGCCCAAACGGCCTCCCAAGCCCTGACAAGGTTAATGTAATAAAATATTATTTCGTTGGTTCCCGGGGAGGAGAATGATACCAAAGCGCCCAAAAACGCAGGATTACGTAAACTACTCGACACCAAGGCTCCCAAGAGCGAGCGGCAACGCAACAATCGTCACTGTTGCCCATTGCTGGCCCCCCTCCCCCCCCAACCTCCTTATCACCCGCAGGGTGGTCGTATAGGTACACTAAATGAGAAACAGGGAAAGTTCTGAGGGTCAAACTGTGTCGTTGGCCCTCGGTTAACAACAACAACGACGTCTCCCGCCTGATGTTTCCTCACAATTCAGCCAGGGCCCGCGCTCCCGCCTGATATTTCCTTCCCGCTTGGGACCTCCTTACAATTTATTAAGGAATCGCTTTCTCGGCGTTCCGGAATCGCGCTCTCGCTGCAGACTTCCTTACTTTTTATTCAAGAATCGCGCTCATGCGTTGGATATCCCCGCGATTTACTCAAGCGCCGCGCTCCCGACACTCAGGCACCCAGGACTCGCGCTCATTTAGACTTCTCTCACAGCTTATTTTGGAATCGGGATCTCGCTGCCCTTCATGGCCCCGGTGTAACCATTCGTGGTCCCCTCTCTGCCCTTCGTGGATCCGTTGCAGCCCTTCCTGGTCCCCTCGCTGCCTTTCTTGGCCCCGTTGCAGCCCTTCGTGGCCCCCTCGCTGCCCTTCGTGCCCCCCTTCGCTGCCCTTCGTGGCCCCGTTGCAGCCCTTCGTGGTCCACTCGCTGCCCTTCGCGGCCCCGTTGCAGCCCTTCGTGGCCCTCTCGCCCTCGTGGCCCCGTTGCAGCCCTTCGTGGCCCCCTCGCTGCCCTTCGTGGCCCCGTTGCAGCCTTTCGTGGCCCCCTCGCTGCCCTTCGTTGCCCCATATATGTATGCCCTTCGTGGCCCCCGCTCGTTCGCGCCCGTCGTGGCCCCATATGTATGCGCTTCGTGGCCCCGCTGTCGCCCGTCGTGGGCCCCTCGCTGCCCTTCGTGGCCCCGTCCTTGCCCTCAGTGGACCCGTCCTTGCCCTCTGCGGCCCAATCTATGTATGCCTTTGGTGGCCCCCGCTCGTTCGGGCCCGTACGCGAGGAGGAGCAGGAGGAGGAAGACGCGAGGAGGAGGAGGTGGAGGAGGACGATGACGATGACGACGACGACGACGACGACGACGACGACGACGACGACGACGACGACGACGACGACGACGACGACGACGACGACGACGACGACGACGACGACGACCGACGACGACGACGACGACGCGACGACGACGACGACGACGACCGACGACGACGACGACGACGACGACGACGACGACGACGACGACGACGCGGCGAGCGGCAGGGCGGCGGCGGCGGCGGCGGCGGCAGCGGCGCTTCGACGACGACGAGGACGACGACGACGCGGCGGCGGCGGCGGCGGCGGTAGCCGCGGCGGCGGCGGCGGCGGCAGGCGGGGCGAGGGACGGCGGCGGCGGCGTTGGCGGCTGACGGCGTTGGCGGCGGCGCGGAGGGCGGCGAACGGCGGCGGCGGCCGCACAGGTGGGCGACGTTCCCCGCGGCGGGGAGGGCGGAGTGCGTATCTGGGTGGCGCCCCCCCCCCCGGGACCCCCCCCCGGCGGGGAAGGGATCGAAGGGAAGAGGCTTCCCTTCGTGTCAATTACGATGGAGCTCATTTTCGTTGAGGGTGGCGCGGTAGCTCATTTACAATGTAGGTCATTTTCGCTAAGGGTGGCGCGCCGAGGACGACGCGTCTTCCACACGCCGACAGGGTCGGCGGATTTGCCCTTCGTGGCCCCCGCTCGTTCGCGCCCTTTCCATACGCATGCCCTTCGTGGCCCCGCTGTCGCCCTTCGTGGCCCCCTCCCGCCCTTCGTGGCCCCGCTCTCGCTCTCGCTCTCGCTCTCGCTCTCGCTTTCGCTCGTCGTCGTCGTCGCCGCCGCCGTCGTCGTCGTCGTCGTCGTCGTCGTCGCCGCCGCCGTCGTGGTCGTCGTCGTCGTCGTCGTCGCCGCCGTCGTCGTCGTGGTCGGTCCCCGTGTCCATCCCTCTTAGGGTAGTTGCCGCCGATCAGCGCTGCCGCTGGCCCGGCCGACGGTCCGCGGCCGCCCCGCCAGTTTGCAGGGGCCCGGCCTGCAGGGAAGAAAGATATACCCCACAAAGGGGTACGATCGATAACGAAGAGGGCGGGCATCGAGGGTTTGGGAAATACACGTCGAGTGACACTCGAGCAGATAAGAAAGAACAGTCTTATAATGATTGTTGTTGTTCTTGTTGTTGATGTTATTGCTGTCGTTGTCGTTGTCGTCGTCGTGGTTGTCGTGGTTGTTGTTGTTGCTGTTGTTGCTGTTGTTGAATTTTCATTTCTAAAGAATGATTCGTGTTGATCCCCCCTCTGGTAACCGTTGCATTTGTCAAGTAAAGTGCCCCTCCGGGACTCGCACCAGTTTTTTTAAGCAGGGAAAGTGAGGTGTCACCAACATGTGCCCCTGGCCCCCGCTGTATAACAACAGCGGTTCCCGTTAAGTACTTCACCACCATTTATTCCCAAGTCTCGCTCTCGCGCAGGACTTCCTCACACTTTATGCAGGAATCGCGCTCTCGCGTTTGATTTCCTCGCAATTTATTCATACGCCGTGCCCTCGACACTCAGGGGCCACGCTCTTGCTTTGGCTTTTCTCGCGATTCCCTTATTCCCTTAGGAATCGCGCTACCGCTCGAGACGTCCTCGCGATTCACGCAGGGTTCACGCTTGTACACCACATCGCCTATGTACACCACAGCGGCCGCGTGCAACACAGCGTCAGTTTGTGCCACCGTGCCTGCGGGCACAACAATTTTTTGTGTACACCACAGCGCCTGCGTACACCACATCAGCCGTGTGCAACACAGCAACAGTGTACACCACAATGTCTGCGTGAATTGCAGTGCTTGTGTACACCACGGCGCCTGTGTGCACCACAGCAGCCGTGTGCAACACAGCTCGGTAGCTTTCCCTGGATTGGCTGCTTTCTGAGGCGGTATATGCCCTGGCGGGGTCATTGCTGGTGGTTCCCCGGCCACCGCCATGATTCGTATCGGCAGCATCGGAGCCCTCGACAATATCACCTGGCCCCAAGGGGCCGATATCAAGCTGTGCATCGATAGCTCGTCTATCTCGGCTATCGGGAACGCTGAGCAGGTAAGCTATTGCATAGTTTTAGGTCCCCAGCAGCTGGGGGAGGCTACTGGCATCATCGGCGCCGCCCTCTCGGCTGAGAAGGCCGTCCTCATTTCTTCCTGCAAGTCTGTCGGCCCGCAGATCCAGGGACTTCTTGGCCGCGAACTTTCAGGGCCCCTAGTGCAATTACCCCCCGGACTCGGCATTGACGACGCGGTGGGGAAACGATTTCAGAGCAAGGGCCGCAACGCCAAGGTTAAGTCTCATCTTCAGGCTGGCCGCGCTGGAGCCCTTCGGGTTTCCAATTTGGCTCGGACCATTGGCGGGCGAGCGCGTCGTCTGTGGGTCGCGGGTCCGCTTCCCGTGATGAACTATGCTTGCGAATGCTATGGGTGTTCTCCCCAGGAGTTGTTCAGCCTTCGGCGCGCTTTCGCCGAGGCGCTGAAGCCTCCGGCTTGCGAGAGGGCGCCGCGGGTTTGGCTGCTTCTCGGGAGGGGCCTCATTTGGCTCGCCCAAGTCGCGTGTAGCAGCCGCCGGCGCCGTGAGATCTGGGCCGCCAGCGCTAGACTCCACGAGGCTGCTCTCTGTCTGCTGTGCCTTAGGCGCTGTGGCGTAAGGTGGCGGGCCCCATTTCCTGATTCTCGGGCCCCCCCCCCGCCTGGGAGATCGCGCCCCCCCGCCCACGCATTTCGAGAACTGGGCTCTTGATTTCCACTGGGTTATAGACGCTCCCATCCCCGGGCGATTTGAAGGCATTTTTTTTGGTTGACGGGTTCTGCGCCAGGTCATTGGTTCGCGCGGCGAATCGCGCTTCTTGGTGTTGTTTTGTGCATCCAGGGGGTTTTGGCCGCAGGGTTGTCGGGCCAGTTTGGGCTCGCCTGCAGCAAACTCCGCGGGTGGCTGAGATCTGTGGCTACGTGGCGGCCATGCAGTTGGCGCGGGGCCCAATCATATTGCGTCGGGTGGTAAGAATGTGGTGGATTCGCTCGCTTTGCTGCCGCCCGCCGCTTCTCTGAGAAGCCTAAGTCTGCCGGTCATGCGTTACAGGCCAGATCGCGCGCCTCTCTTGGGCCCATCGAGCGGGTGGCCCATGTCAGAGCTCATCGGGGCATGTGCGAGGCTGATCTTGGTGATGAGCTCCGGTTCAGCAGTGACGGCAGCGGAGATGCAGACCATGCAGCTAAGCACGCTTTCTCGCTCCATCCTCGGCCCGAGGATGCCGTGTCCGCAGAGCTCGAAGAGGAGATTCAGTACGCTCGTGCCTTCTGTCTTCTCAGCATGCCCTCTTTGCCCTTGTGGAAGCCAGCCGCTCCGAAAGTTTGGTGCCGTCGAGTGCATTCGGCCCCCTCGGGCCTTCAAGATTCCTAAGCACAGTTCTCCGCATGCTTGGGTGTCTGTGGGCAATTCTTGGCGCTGCTCTGTGTGCTGGCGCGTCAGTCGTCTAGGCTGTCCGAAGAAGCCCCCTTCGTCCGAGTGTCCTGGTTCCCTGGGGGCGGCTTTCCTTCGGCTCCAGGTCCTCGGTCGCAATTGCATCGCATTGCCTTGCAGAGATGGGGCTATGTTTGTGCTTTGCTTGTCTTGTAAGTCGTGCAGTTCCTGTGGCAGAGTGCCTCTCTGCACGCCCGCTGCCAGCCGTGCCCTACCAGGTGCGGTAATTGGATGTGGGCTAACATATGTAAGGGTCAGCGCGCCAAGCGCCCGCTGGAGTCAGTTGAATGCCCGACTGATCTCAGCACCGAGCCCCCGAAGCCTGGAACGTTCCACTCGCAGGCATCTAAGCGTTCGGAGGCCGAGGACGACATGATAGATTCCGTCGCCGCTTCCTTGCTTGCGGCTGCGAGGCGGGCTCTGGATTGTGGGGGTGGAGAGGTCGATCGGGTCGAATGCGTAACTCTTTTGCCAATGAGGGGCTGGCCCTCCTCTTTTTGTCACGTGCGTGTGCAAGGTCGCTCGTTCGCTCAAAACTCCAACCAACGCCTGGAGGTGTCCTTCTGTGGTCGCCGCCCCAGAGGTAACTGCGTAAACTCTTTTCAGCGGTTAGAGGAAGAGGGGGAAAATTCTCCTCCTCCTCTTCCTCCTCCACCTCTTCTTCCTCTTCTTCTTCTTCCTCCTTCTCCTCCTCGTCCTCCTTCCTCCCCTCCTTTTTAATGTTCGATCGACCTTAGCTGCAAGCTGTGGCGTTTTTGATAAGCAGCAATGAAAGTCACGACCCGATTCGGCGCGCGAAGTACCTGGCGGACGCCGCGGACAAAGCCGGAACATGAGGCGGCGACGAGAGGAGAAGCAATAGCAGGCGCCCGCCAGGCACAAGTGCAGCACGTGCCTTAGAGTGCGAAGCCCCCCCCCCCCGCCCAGTACCTAGTGTCCCGCGCATCCGTGAAGCTCTTCCCCGAGTAGCTAAGGTACGTGCTGCAACAGTGAACGGGAACAGTCATCAGTAAAGGATATGTAAACATGCGAGCGCTCGGGTCGTTTTAGAAGCAGAGGGCCTAATGTGCGCCACGTAGGCCTAAAGGGCTGGCCTGAGAGGCTGGCCTGGGGTTTATGCTGGGCGCTGTCTTGTAAGCAAACCTCCACCACACCCCTACACATCAGACCACCACCTTCCCACACGTCCATTCGTACCAGTAGCCGCTGTACTGAAGGATGTGGAAGCACACAGAACGCGACAGATGGGCTGCCACCAGTACGAACAGAGTGCAATACTTCGGGTATGTTAGAATCCGAACTGGCTGCCTTAGAAGCAGCGGGCGTACATGTGCCACTGAAGTAAAACAAGGCTGGCCTGGGTCCACCCCTATTCGGGCTCTGGTCTCCTTCGCCTACTCCTGCCAATGCTCGCCCCCTCTCCCCTCCCCCTCCCCTTCCGCCTCCGGACCGAGGCCTGCGCGAGGCGCGGGGCCACGAAGGGCCGCCCGCACGCCGCCGCGGGGCCTCCCGCCAGAAGGGCCGCGGCTGCCAGCCAATCGCCCCGACGATGGGAGGAGGAGGAGGAGGAGGAGGAGGAGGAGGAGCAGGAGGAGGAGGCGGAGGAGGAGGAGGAGAGGGAGGAGGCGGAGGAGGAGGAGGCGGAGGAGGAGGAGGAGAGGGAGGAGGCGGAGGAGGAGGAGGCCGAGGAGGAGGAGGAGGCGGAGGAGGAGGAGGAGGAGGAGAAGGAGGAGGAGGAGGCGGAGGAGGAGGAGGAGGCGGAGGAGCAAGAAGCGGAGGAATACGAGGAGGTGGATGAGGAGGTGGATGAGGAGGAGGCGGAGGCCGATTCGGAGGAGGAGGAGGAGGCGGAGGAAAACGAGGAGGGGAAAGAGGAGGAGGCGGCGGAAGAGGAGGGAGGAAGATGATGAGGAGGAGGCGGAGGCGAGGGGGAGGATCAGGAGAAGGGGATGGGAGGGGTCATGAGGATTGTCATGATTAGGAGGGAGGGGGACAATGTGTGGATCATTCTGCCGTTGATGATGCTGGCGATGCTGATGTGTATGTCGATGCTGACGAGTGTGGATACTTCTGTTGAGGACGGCGATGGCGATCGTATTTGGACCGCGATGCTGCTGGTGAATCTGGTGATGTTGATGCTGTTACGTCTATCTATTTTATCGCATGTGCACGTTGTTATGCCACTGCGACGATATGATGGATGTGTGATCATTATGCGTATTTGTATAAGTCGTATTACGGGCCACATGGGGAACATGACGGCGACGAGTGGTGGCAATGGCTACGCTGATGGTGGTGATGATGATGACGGCGATGACGATGCTGGTGATGAGAATGCTGCTGTTTTGCTGCTGGTGGTGGTTCAGGTGGTGGATGATGATGGTGATGCTGATGATACTGATGATGATGTTGTTGCCGATGTTGCTGATGATGCTGCTGCTGACGATGATGATGTTGATGATGAAGATGTTGATGTCGATCTTGGTGGTGCTGATGATCATGACGATGATGATGATGATGCTGATGATGATGATGATGATGATGATGGTGCGGATGCTTATGATTATGATGATGATGGTGGTGGTGATGATTTCGATGCCGATGATGATGACGATGCTGATGCTGATGATGCTGACAATGCTGCCGATGATGGTGCCGATTTCGTTGTTGATGATGATGGTGATGATATTCGTATGATGATGGTGATGATGCTGATGATTATGATGATACTGATGCTGATGATGATGGTGCTGGTGATGGTGAGAATGGTGATGATGGTGATGATGATGATGCTGATGATGATGCTGCTGCTGCTGATGATGATGATGATGATGATGCTGATAACGATTCTGCTGCTGCTGCCTTTGCTGTTGCTGCTTATTGTGATGATGACGATGCTCCTGTTGATGATGATGCTGATGATGATGATGCGGATTATGCTGAGGATTATGATGATGATGATGACGATGCTGATGATGCTGATGATGGTGATGATGATTATGATGCTGTTGATGATGACGACGATGATGATGCTGCTGCTGCGGATGATGATGATGCTGCTGATGCTGCTGATGAGAATGATGATGATGATGCTGCTGCTGATGATGCAGATGTTGCAGATGATGATGATGATGATGATGATGATGATGATGATGATGATGATGATGATGATGATGATGATGATGATGATGATGATGATGATGCTGATGCTGCTGATGATGATGATGATGATGCTGATGGTGATGATGATGATGATGATGATGATGATGATGATGGTGATGATGGTGATGATGGTGATGACTGCGATGGCAGTGGTGATGAGGAGGAGAACGAGAAGAGAGAGGAGGGGGAGTACGAACAAAAGGATGGGGGGATGAGCTGGAGGGTGGGGAGAAGGAGGAGGAGGGGTGGTGTTCGGAGGAGGGGGTGGAGGAAGAGAAGATGGCGGGGTGAGGAGGAGGTGGGGAGGACGAGGTGGAGTGCTGTGGAGGATGTGCAGGGGGGGGTCAATCGAATCGGGAGGGGGCTGCGATAGCGGGCAAAGACGATGGCCCTCGAGTCGGCCGCCCTGGTGCAGGGGGAGCCCTGGCGTCGGGGCGGCCCCTCGCGGCTTCCCGCGCGATACCTTCTTCCACCCGCTCGAGCACGAGTACGACCTGACAGAGGCCCGGAGCCCCGCGCAGCGGCCACTGGTCTGGCCCCTTCCTGGGATGGGGCAGGGGCGACTAGCCAGGTGAGGTGGGGGAGGAGTTTTCCCGCCGTTCACTCTTGAACACCGTCGAGTAGCCGGGCTAGTGGAGCGCGGGAACGCGCGCCTCCGGGGCATTAGCTTCCGGCGCAGCATCCGATCCGCCGTCCACTCCACCCTCCTCCCCCGTGGTTGACGGGCTCGTGGTAGCGCCAGTCATTAGCCGTGCTGATTGCTCTCGCGGTCCTGCAGAAGGACGTGCATGCTTCGCACCAGGCCTTCCCAATCACTCTCGTCACAAGAGTCAAAAGGGTTGTCTGGGTGGTCTGTAAGGCTGGAGGCGTCACCTTGTCTGCTGGGGCTTCTGTATCTGCTGCTGGGTTCAGGTCAGAATGTAAGTGTCGTTCGTCGGCCTGGGGGGTTCTTGTGTGGGGGCGTTCGCGGACGGAAATTATTTTCAGGGCCAGACGTAGACCTCCCTCTCAGAACCCTGTCGGCCTCGTGACTTCGTTGAAAGCGGATAGGCTTTGAAGCCTGACTAGTGGGTGCGGGGGGGCCCTTTCGCTTGCCCTCGCCAGGGCATTCAAGCCCTGACGAGGTGACAAAACGTCCTCTCCGATGGCCAACGATTTTGTCATGACCTATGGAATTATCTCCCTTCTTCCTCTGATGCGTGCGTGGGGGGACGGGGAGAAGATGGGGAGATATTCTGCTATCCTCTGCTCGATGTTCGCGGTGCGGCAGCGGTGCCAGCTGCCAGTTTCGGGGTGCGAGGTCGGTTGGAGCAGGGGAGACGTGCGGAGCAGTAGTGGGGATGATGATGCGGATTACGATGACGATACGTTGGCAATGACGATGGCGATCATGATCATTCTGATGATGATCATGATGATGCTGATGATGTTGATGATAATGATGACGACGATGATGATGCTGCTGCGGATGTTGATGACGCTGATGATGATGGCGATGACGACGATGCGTCTGATCCTGATGATGATGATCAGCTGATGATGCTGACGATGAAGATGCTGATGGTGCTGGTGGTGGTGCTTGTGGTAGTGCTGCTCATGATGAATCCGATGATGATTAGAACGATGATGATTGTGATAATGATCATGGTGATGACGATGTTGAACATGATGATGATGATGATGGTTATGCTGGTGGTGATGCTGATGAGGATGAGGATGATGCTGATGCTGATGTTGATATGCTGCTGCTGGTACTGATGCTGATGATGATGCTGATGATGCTGCTGATGATGATGCTAATGATGGTGACGCCGACGGCGATGTCGATGAGCATGATACTGATGCTGTTGCCGCTGCTGCTGATGATGACGATGATGGTGATGCAGATGATGGTGATGATGATTACGAGGGTGGTGATGATGGTGATGATGATGGCGATGATGGTGATGCTGATGACGGTGATGACAATGATGATGACGATGATGATGATGACGATGACGACGATGCTTCTGATGATGATGATGGTCAGCTGATGATGCTGACGATGAGGATGCTGATGATGACGATGATGACGACGATGGTGATGATGATGACGATGACGACGATGCTTCTGATGACGATGACGACGATGCTTCTGATGATGATGATGATGATAATGATGATGATCAGCTGATGATGCTGACGATGAGGATGCTTATGATAATGTTGATGACGATGATGATGATGATGATGATGATGATGATGATGATGATGATGATGATGATGATGATGATGATTATGATGATGATGATGATGATGATGATGATGATGATGGTGGTGGTGGTGGTGGTGGTGGGGGTTGTGTTTGTGGTAGTGCTGCTGACGATGATGCCCATGATGATGATGATGATGATGATGACGATGATGATGATGATGATGATGATGATGATGATGATGATCATGATGATGATTATGATAATGATCATGTGGATGACGAGGCTAGACACGATGCTGATGATGATGTTGATTATGATGATGATGATGATGATGATGATGGTGATGCTGATGGTGATGCTGATGAGGATGAGGATGATGATGATGCTGATGCTGACGTTGATAATGCTGCTGCTGATGCTGCTGATGATGCTGATGATGATGCTGATGATGATGCTGATGCTGATAATGCTGACGACGACGGCGATGTCGATGATCATGATACTGATGCTGTTGCCGCTGCTGCTGATGATGACGTTGATGGTGATGCTGATGGCGATGATGGTGATGGTGGTGATGATGGTGATGCTGATGATGACTGCGGTGCGCTTTGTGGTGGTGACACTGGTGATGCTGAATATGATGTTGAGGATGTTGCTGATGATGACGATGGTGGTGGTGCGATTGATGGTGATGTCGATGATGGAGGGGGTGCGAACGATGACTATCATGATGCTGGCCTGCTGCTGCTGATGATGATAATGATGATGACGGTGATGATGCGGATGATGATGCTGATGATAATGGCGATGATGTTGATGATGATGCTGGTGGTGGTGGTGGTGGAGGATGTGGTCATGATGACGGTGGTCATGATGACGATGCTGATGATGGTGATGCTGATGGTGATCATGATGATGATGCTGATGATGCTGATGATGATGATGTGGATCAGGGCGATGATGCTGATGATTATGCTGATGATGATGGTGCTGATGATGCTGATGAGGATGATGATGCTGCTGATGGTGATGCCGATGATCATCATGATGCGGGGTATGAGGATGACATGGGGGGATGATGATCATGATGATGGTGACGCTGATGCTGCTGATGCTGACGACGACGCTGATAATGATGAGGATGATGATGCGGATGCGGCTGATGATGATGATGATGATGATGATGATGATGATGATGATGCCCATGATGATGAGGATTAGGGTGCTGCTGCTGATGATGATGCTGCTGATGATGAGGCTGATGATTTTATGATGCTGATGCTGATGCTGATGCTGATGATGATGAGGATGCTGATGCTAATGCTGATGCTAATGCTTCTGCTTGTGATGGTGATGGGGAAGGAGGAGGCGGAGGAGGAGGGCGGAGGACGAGGAGGGTCAGGAGGAGGAGGTGGAGGAGGATGAGGATGGGAAAGGAGGATGAGGAGGAGGAGGAGGACGAGGGAAGAGGAGGAGGAAGAGGAGGAGGAGGAGAACGAAGAAGAGGAGGAGGAGGAGAAGCGTGAGGAGGAGGAGGAAGAGGAGGATGATGAAGAGGAGGAGGGGAGAAGGAAGAGGAGGAGAATGTGGAGACACAGGAGGACGAAGAAGAGGGAGAGGAGGAGGAGGAGGATGAGGAGGAGGAGGAGGAGGAGGATGAGGAGGAGAAGGAGGAGAGGGAGGAGGAAGAGGAGGACGAGGAGCAGGACGAGGAGGAGGAGGAGAAGGAGGAGGAGGACGAAGAGGACGATGAGGAGGAGGAGGAGGAGGAGGAGGAGAAGGAGGAGGGATGCGGGAGGGAGGAGGAGGAGAAGGGATGCGGGAGGGAGGAGGATGGGGAGCAGGAGGAGGAGAAGGAGGAGGAAAGCCCACGAAAGAATAGACGTGGACCCTTGATTCATGGGCAAAGCGCAAGTTAGCTGCTGTGGCAGACGTCCGCCGGGCACCTGACTAGGAGATCGATTCCTACTGGATGCGAATGTCGTCGTGGTCAACGACTCCTGGAACAGTGCGACGGCACAGCAACCCGGATGAGACGGTTACGACTGCACAGACTCGCAGGTCACCTCGCACGCATGAATGGCGTTTGTTGCGTCGCTCTCCAGACGCGGCGTCTCGCGTGGTGGAGGTACCAGCAAACGCGGCATCACAACAAGCATTGCGGGGTCCATCCTGCCAGGTTCAAGGCTTGGCGGTTGGAGTCGCACTTAACCAGTGTTTACGGAGAGGTCGAATGCGAGGACCCATTCAGCAATGCTGGATGAATGACGCTCGCTCACGACAGAGCCACCTGGCGAAGCTCTGAAGCGGCCGTCGCTGATGCTTGAATGTTCAGGTCCTTGTCTCCCGTTCCCCTTTGCTCTGCTTCTGCCCTCGCTCCCCCCGTTCTTGTCCGTCTGCTGTGCTGCCTCCTCTCGCTCGCTCTCCTGCCTCCTCCTTGCTGCTCCCTTGCTCGTTTCTCCGTCTCTCTTCGCCGTCTGCTTCCTCTCCCTGCCGCTGCTGCTGCTGCTGCTGTCACGCATTGCACTGAGCCTTGGTCACATATTCTCGAAAGTTTTGCAGACCAGTGTGTAGTGGAGCTGTTCCCCTCGATGGGGTCTTCATAGCAGCGAACCAGAACAGAACAGAAGGAGGAGAAGGAGGAGGAGGACGATGAGGAGGATAATGCTGATGCTGATGAGGAGGAGAAGCAGGAGGAGGCTGGGAAGGAGGAAGAAGACGAGGAGGAGGAGGAGGAAACGAATACTCATAGTATTAACACAGGAGGAGGAGAGGATACCAGGAGGAGGAAGAGGAGGAGGAGGAGGATCAGGATGAGGATGATGAGGAGGATGAGGAGGAGGAACAGCAGGAGGAAGGATGCGTGAGGGAGGAGGACGGAAGAGGAGGTGGAGGAGTTGGATGGGGCAGGAGGAGGAGGAAAAGGAGGAGGAGTAGGATGCGGAGGAGGAGGAAGAGGATGAAGAGGATGAGTAGGAAGAGGATGAGGAGAGGAAGGAGGAAGAGGAGGAGGCGAAGAGGAGGAGGATGAGGAGGAGGAAGAGGGAGGAGGAGGAGGAGGAGGAGTGTAGACTGATGGGGCAGCGAGAGTTCTCCCAGAGGTGGGGCGGTCCCTCGATCGGCTGGGCCTCGCTTGTGTGGGCCTTGATGCGGATCCCGAGCTGGTGCGTCTCTTCCAAGGCAGCTTTTGCGTCCCCCTGTCGTCTTTCTTTCTCTCTCTCTCTCTATCTCTCTTATTCTCTCTCTTCATCTTTTTTTCTGTCTTTCCACATCTCGCTTTCTGCATATATCCATTTATCTATTTGCACATGTGTATTTCTGTGTAGATTTGTATGTGTATTTGACGTGTCAAATGTTTATATGTATGCATATGTTGAGGCAGGCGTACATAATGTGTATATATATAGATGTATCTATACATGTATATATGTATATATATATATATATGTGTACATGTATATACATATGTACACCCACTATATGTACCTATACATAAATTTGGACCCATCTGAATGTTTTTCCCCACATTGCCGCCCGTGGCCGCCTCGTAGCCGCCTCCTGTGCTGAGTAGGTCTGGCCAGGTTTCGCCGCGTTGCCGCCCGTGGATGCTTCGTGGCCGCCTCGTGCGCTGGGTTGGTCCGGCGAGGTTTCGCCACGTTGCCGACGGTGGTTGCCTCGTGGCCGTCTCGTGCGCTTGGTGGGTCCGGCGAGGTTTCGCCACGTTGCTACCCGTAAACGTTACGTGGCCGTCTTGTGCGATGTGTGGGCCCGGCGAGGTTTCGCCACGTTGCCGCTCATGGTTGCCGCGTGGGCGCCCCGTGCATTGGGTGGGTCCGCCAAGGTCTCGCCGCATTGCCGCCCGTGGGCGCCTCGTGGGGGCGCCGCGCGTACACTACATTGCTCGCACCACGTAGCTTGCATTGCACAGCTTGCACATAGCTCATGCCACATATATTGCAGCACGTAGCTGGCACCGCGTAGCTTACAGGCCATCACTTACACATATCCCGCACTACAGATCGTGCACTGCGTTGTTTCTCCGTTCTACAAGAGTATTAAGATCTACCTTCCCCCTAGACTTAACGGGCCACTTTTTTGTATTCTCTCAGCCAAACCGGTAACGGCCCCCTTCATCCTTAAAGAAAATCGTATGCGCGCATTCGCTTATCAAATCATCAGTTTTCAAGGATCCTTTCCACGAGATGGGACGAACTGCACGCGCGCGTCGTCGCGCGCGCATGCCGGGATCATTCCAACACCTGAGGTCCCGTAAGGATTTCAAAATCGATAGTCCCGAGCACGTATAGAAACACATGGTTTCATGTCGGGTTGTTGCTATTTTTTGAACACATCGGTCTTTCAACATTTTTCATAACTTGCTACCAAGCGGGCCTCTCGCGCGCGCATGCCGGAATCGCTCGAACGCCCTGGCGCGCGTGTTGTTGCAATAATCTTATGCCAACAGCGTGACGAAGTGCACGCACGCGCTTTGTCGCGCACGAGTGCCGAAATCCTTCAACAACGTGTGGCTTCGTGAAGATTTAAAAATCGGGTGTCCCGAAAACACATACGTACACATAGTTTTGCAACATCAGTTTTCAAACATGCCTGCGTTCGCGCTCCTGTCAATTCTCAAGACAACCTTATTTTCATCAACGTTGTCAGAAACTTCGGTCAAGCGGGCCCCTCGCGCCGCACGTCGAAATGATTCGAACGCCTTTGCGCGCGTGCGGGGGGGCACGACCCATGTCAAACATTGCCATGCGGGCCACTTGCGCGTCGGCCGCGCGCGCATGTCGAACTTCATCGCCTGCATCACCGAGGTGAGGGCGCCGTCATCGTCGTCGGCGTGATCAGCGTCGGCGCCGTCACTGGTTTTGCCGTCGTCGTTGTCATCATCGTCGCCAGCATCGCTACCATCATCATCGCGTCTACCGGTGTCGACGTTGCCATGCTACCGCGCCGGCCCAAGTCGCCGACTCGCACCGAAGTGCCCAGCGGTCAGCTCCACTGCAGCCGCGTCTGTGGCGCCAAACTATATGTCTGCTGTGCCCGCGAGCATGCGCGGGTTAGCGCGGCCCGGAGATGCACCAGCCAAATCCAGGCACTCATCGCAATCGACGCCGCGTGGATTTTGTAAACCAAGTTGCGGGCGGGTGGGTGGGATGATTGCGCGAGCAGTGGAGTGGACAACTTATTTGGAGCAAAAATTCATTGCACTACTTACACTTCACTGCATATCTTGCACCGCACAGGTTGCACCACATGGGCCGTACCACCCAGACTGGAGTACATGGCTCACACTCCATTCGTCGCACCGCATATTTTGTACCACGCAGCCTACACCATCAACCACACCACGTTTACCACACCTCATAGAACACGCTTCATAGCTCACACACAACATGCACTATCTCATTGTTGGGGTCCACGCTGGCACCCAAACGCGCTCACACGCACACGCGGTAGCGAGGGCCGACAGGTACGACAGGTTTTTCTGGCTGTGTCTGGCCCGAGCTGAGCAACGTCTTCTCATTGAAATCGGTTCCGCTGATATGTTGAGACAGTCCCGCCCTGCAGGTGCCTGGCCGCTCTGCGCAGACACTGGCTGGCGCAAGGAGTGCCAGCGCACGGTGTACGCTTACTTGGCTGCCTCCGCCCTTCGGAGGCCGTGGAACAGAACACGAGCCAAGCTGGCCCGTTTTCGACTGGGCGACGCTGCTAGACACGCAGTCATTTTTGGCGGCGCGCGGGAGCGAACGCCGGAATGGCAAGGCAGGCGGGCGACGCATCTTCTCCAGACGCTCGGGGGAATTGTCCGCCCCCGAGTGCAAGCTGCATTTTTCAACTTGGTCGATTCGCTGGATGACCGCACGGCCAGTTCCAGCGCCGCGCTCGCTGAACATGCTCAGGATAGTTTGGAACAGTATTGCAGCTGCCCCGGCATGACAGAAGGCCTGCCGCGCCACATTTTCCTGGACCCAGAACTCTTCTGCAACCTGCACATTTCTTCCTGGTTAATCAGAGTATCATGTCGACGGAGACGCTGATCACCGTAGTTCTTGCAGTATATGCGGTCTACACCTGTGCCAACTCCATGCGGGCCCAAGAGGGCTACACAATAGATGTTGCGGTGGGCGCTATTGCACAGGCTGCGCGGGAAGGCGCGCGCGGCCACGGCCAGGCCACGAGGGTGATGGACACGCCTTGGAGCCTGCTGGGTGCATCGTCGCCGCTTCCACCACCCCCAGCGCCTCCATTCAGAGGAGAGCGGAGTCGGAGATCGGAGTCTTCTTCGCCAGCAAGAAGGATGAGACGCTGCGAGTGCTCATAGATGCCCGCCGAAGCAATTTCCTTTCCGCCGCACAACCTGGCGTTCCCTTGGTGACGGCCGAAGGTCTGTCGCGGCCGAAATTAAGGCGGACGACAGCGACGGCCCCGACGAGGCGATGCGCTTCGCCTTTGGGACCTAGGACATCACCGACGCTTTCCACCGGTTCCGCATCATCTGGGCCATGCCTGGGCAGTCCTGCCTGCGGCGCTTAACCGCAGAAGAGCTGGGGCCCAGCGGCAAGTTCCAGAGGGGAAGACGCCTGAGGGAGGACGGCCGTCCTGGCGGAAGCCGTTCTCCCGAGGTGGTTCACCTGGTCCGTCTACTTCTGTCGAGAGGTCGGCCGCGACATGAGGTCGACCGCCGAGCTGCTCGAGGTGCCCAAGCTGGCTGACCGCGGCGCCACTGACGTCCTGAGGCCCAACCGAGCCCTCGACGACGGCGGCGGCGCACACTACACCTAGGTGGACAACCTGGGCGTGGTTGGGTTCTGACCCGTTGAAGTTGAGCGGGGCTGGACGAGTGCGACGTTGCGTTTCGACAAGGCGGGCCTGTTCTCTCATGAGACGGAGCTCCAGGTTTACCGCGGGGAGTCGCTGGGTTGCCTCCTGGCCGGAGTGGACTGCTCGACCCGTATCACCGCGAAGCGGTGCTGGTGGCTGCAGCGGGGGCTCAGCTGGGCCCGCAGCTGCCGGGCCCTCTCTGTTTAGGTCTGGGAGGTGATCGTCGGGTACTGCACATGCTGCGCCATGTTTAATCGTGACTTGCTGCCAGCGTTCCTGGCCAACTACCAGACCGCGACGCCGTTGTTGCCGAGCGCGTGACAGGAGCTGGTCGTATTCCACGGCCTTGTGCCGTTGCTGCGCGGCGACTGGGCCTTGCCCTGACGTGATCTGGTTTCACTGTCGGGCGCTTACGGGCACGGCTATGCGGTGTGCGTGCTGATGTTTTGCCATGCCTCTGTGAAGGAGATGGGGGGGGACTCGGGGGAGATTCCGTTTGCGCCGGCTGGGCGGCCACTCAGCTCGTGCTCACTTCTTCATTCTTCGCAGTTAACGGCAATACCATGGCCGAGCGCGGGGAGCTGTTGCCCAAGTGGCCGAGGACACCGATCGGGGCATGGATCCAATATTGGTGAAGATGGAGGCCAGACATTTAACCAGCTTCCGATGGATGGAGATTGTCGCTCGGACGTGTTTCAGCGCCGGCACGGGCATTTAGGTTCGCGAGGCTCGGTCTCTCCTACGCGCTGTCGGGATTCAGTGCAGTCTGTCGCCTCGCGTCAGAATACGCCTCGTGGCTATGTCGGATTACTTGCCAGTGGTGCTGTGCTTTGAGTGAGGAAAACAACGCGTTATGTCATTGTGGTGCTCACTTGCGCACGTCGCGCCTGTGCCTTCAATATCAGCCTGAACAATAGACTACATGTTCGGTGGGTGCCAAGCGAGCTTATCCGAGGCGACGAGGGCTCGCGTCTGTCTGACCCGGAATGTGGTGCTTCAAAGGCGTTGGTGGAAGATGGGCTCCCTGAAGGCTTTGCAGGCCACGCCACATGCGTGAACGAGGACCTGGTAGTCCATGGAGATGCCGTAGAGCGAGAGTCAGACGAGCACGACGACAGCGACACTAACAGCGCGCAGACACAGCTGGACAAACAGCATGACGCCAGCGCGCACGCGCCTACGGACGAGGATGTCACGCCTGTCATCACCAAGGAACGCCTGACAGGCTTCCCTGGCGCGCCTCAAGGGGAATCCCGAGAGCCTCTACCAGGGTCTCAAGCTCCTCGCGGTCTTCAACGGGGACGCCTGCTGGAACGTCGACCCCCCCCCCCCGGGCTTCAACAGGGATCCCTCAATGGTCCTGCGCGCGCTGCCCCTCGCAAGCTCGAGTGCCTTTGCGGCCCCGGTTGCTGCCCTGCCTGCGGCCGAGCCGAGCGATGACGGTGATGTCGGCCTCGGAAGCGCGGCGCCATCAGCTGCCGCGCGCCGAAGGCGGCGAGCGGCGAGGAGGGCGAGATACGGAACGTGCGAGACGGTCGAAAACCTGGTCCATTGAAGTAGTCTTTCCCGCGTTCGCCAGCAGCGCCGCCAGCGCGGTGGAGAGGTTGGAGGGCCGCGGCGAACGAGGCGGACGCCGCGGGCCCTATGCCCTATGCCAATGGCTACTTCTGCCTACCAGGCGAACGTGCTGATGTCGGCACTGCTCCGCTTCCAGTCGCAGCCCAGTTGCCACGGGAACTCGCGCCTCCCCCGGGCCTGGCTGGCGCGCCGTGGGGGTGGAGTTCCGCTGTGGCAGACGGTCCAGAAATCCAGCCAGCAGTGACAGGAATATGCCCGACAGTGGGGTGAGAGTTCTGGTGCCGCGAGCTGTGGGTGATGGCGCTACAGGTGGCGCGGATAGTCGTGGCGCACCACGACCATCCCGAGAGGCCTCCGACTGTCTGGCGACATGACCCTGTGGCACCCATTCGCGGTACCCGCCATGAGTGGTGAAAGTTTCATTTCCAGGAAGTCGGGAGGCGACCACAGTGGACCAGCTGCAAGGCAAGAGTGTCAGCCTGGAGAACCAGACGTATCAGGGGACGCAGCGGGCCATCGCAGCTACCGCGGAAGGCCCGCCCGAGTCGAAGTTGCGCCCTCGTCTGGATTAGGAGGAGGAGGAGGAGGAGGAGGAGGAGGAGGAGGAGGAGGAGGAGGAGGAGGACCCGAGCTGATGGCCACGAGCGGCGCTCGCCTGAGCCTGTCAGCGCTGAGGCCCCGGCCAGCACACGCGACAGCGTTCCGGAGGGCCAGCAGCCGGCTCGAGGCCCCCGCCGCCGGCCGCGGGGAGCCGGCCGCGAGTCAGCCTGCGTGATGCCGCCGAGGTCAGTGCTTTCCCGATCCCTCCTGTGGTCACTACAGGAGGGATCGGGAAAGTATTAGCCGCGGGATAGGGTTCGGACTCACCATGACGTTCGCACGTCACGTTTTCGAACAACACAAAAAACGGTTCAAAAACACAAAAGCACGATTCATGATTTCTATGAAATTGAAGCTTTGACGGTGCTGACGAGATGCCTCACTGTGGTGAGGGTGGCGCGACTGCGGCCCATGGCGTCTGTGAGGATTCCAGCTGGACAGTGGGACACCAGAACTGACAGCCGCTTGAGCCTGACAGATGGTGCCGACCAGTGCCAGTTCGAGCGTGATGTCAGATCGGGGCACCTGTTGAGCACTGTGCCCTGAGCCAGCCTGTCTGTGGCCAGAATGCGCACTTGTATAGCCCCAGCCGCCAGTGGACGCTGGTGGGTGAGAGATGCACCTGAGTTCCCTGAAAAAGACCATGGGGGCGTCCACGTAGGCAATAGAACCCTTCGTGCCGCTCTCAGATCCAGATAAGAAATGCGCCTTGGGTTCTAGAGAACCCCTGCAGTAACATGCTCTGGAAAATACCCGCCCATCCGCAGGCTATCGTTTCAGAGGGCCTCCCTTAGTATCGTGGTCGATTTTTACAGCTACGGTGCCACGTGGCGCAAACGGACCCTCTTCGTTTCCGGCACTGTTAAACCAATCGAATTATTTGGCCCACACCCACCTGACGTGTTCCTTGGACTTGGGTGGCTGAACCCTGCCGTCGTCGCCTGTATACAGCCTTCGCACACGTGTTTCGATAGGTCCTCTCTAGCAAGCATTCTTGATTTGGGATGATACGAGAGTTTTTGTGCCAGATCTGATGAACATGTGCTGGACCACACTCTGACACGACCCTAGTGCTCTCCTCGCCCGTCCTTCTGCTCCAGCGCCGTGTTTCTCGAGACATGCTTTTGCGCATGAGAAATATTTTGACATGAGGATGCTTACGCGTGATTGCCTTTTTCCCGGCCTGTCGATCAATGCTCTGTATCCTCCCGCCTTCTGGCTTTTAAGTGTGCCCGTGGCCTGCCCTACCGCATTGGGTATTCTATTCTTTTCACTCAAGCGAGTTTACGTGGCAGATTTGCTGACAGTGTGCTTGAGCACCCTGGCACGACCCTGGTGCTCTTCTCGGCTGGACTTGTTTCTCGATATTTGTTTTCTGCGGAGGAAAAGAGAGGCGCCTTCGACACACGTGATTCATTTTGGCCTCTTCGGGCCTTTTGGAAGTCCTCTTGGAGGTCTCTTGGGCCGTCTTGTGGGCCGTCTTGGGCGATCTTGACGCCGTCTTGGGCTACCTTGGGGGCTTCTCGGCCTGTCTTGGAGACATCTTATGACCATCTTGGGTTCTCACGGGGCCATCGTAGCCGTTTTGGAAACCATCTTGGCCGTTCTGGAGGCCATCCTGGGGCCGTCTGGAGCCGGAAGACTGACGACATGAGAAGTTTACGTGTCTTCCGGGGCGGACAGACCGACAGAGTGTACCTTTTCCGGTTGGTGGCGGGTTGGGCCGAGACCCCATTTGGGAACCTTTTAACGAACCGAAGTCATTCAAAAGTTCAGCACGCCGTGCACCGCTTTCGGCAAATACTGTCACCGTGCCCCCGCCACCGTGCCTGGGAGTCTGCTGGGAGTTCTGCTGGGGGCCTGCTGGAGGCCTCTTTGGAGCCTCCTGGGGGCCTCTTGGAGGTCTCTCGAGGGCCTCCTGGGGGCTTCCAGATTTTCAATCACGCGTCCAGGGCCCCGGCCAAAGACACTACCCAAGCCCCAAGAGCGCCGACGAGCGGCCCGTCCTTAAGGTGGGGATCTGTCGCTCTCAAAAAGCGCTTGCATGTCTGAAGCGAAGATCTGACGGGCCCTGACGGCACTCTAGTGTGTGCCCGAGGCAGGGTGACGGATTCATGCATCCTTATGGAAGTGTCCCTCTGAGCGCGGGATGTAATGCGTGTGCAACAGAGGTAGGACGAACCCGCTTTTCATGATGGGACCAGCTGAAGTGGAAACGTCCCGCAATGTGATTTCTTGCTGGGCCGTCCGTCTGCTTCATGAGTACTGCGTGTCAGGGTCGAGTTCATGTCCAGTGTATCGACCAACGTTGGCGCCGACAGTGTCCAGTTGTAACACTGAAGGCATCATCACGGCAGCGTAAAATGCGGCGATGTCTCGTGAGGTGCGATGCCCGGGCGCAACATGGCGGACCTGAATGCATGGCACGAGTTGGAGACTATTGCGCTGCGTGGGGGCGTGGGCGGGTTGGGGGGAGGAGAGGAGAGCCGCGGACACCTCGCGCAACGCCGAAGTGGGATTGCTGGTGTTGGTTGCTCTTCACGCTCCTGCTCTCGTCCTCTTCCTCCAGTCCCTCAGTGCACCCTCGTGCGATAGCTGCCCGTCTCGACGCTGGGCGCATCCTCACTAGCCCATCCAGACACGATGCCCATGAGAGCAGTCTAGCGAGGCGCGGTGGCGCCAACGATGTGAAGAGTTGGATATGGGGTTCAGGGGACAATCTTGGAGACATCGTTGGGCCATGTCGGGCCGTGGGGCTCCGAGACTGGGGCCTAGCGTGCAGCGTTCGGAGACGATCATCGACAGCCTACTGCAAACCGACGGCTTACGAGCACGACGCGCCACGGCTCGGCTTGTGCATTCCGCTGCGGGTCCCCACGTCGAGAGAACCAGGATGAGGACCGGCAGCAGAGGCGACTTCAATAGTTCGGTGGGGGCGTTGGTTAAGGAATGTGCCCAGGAGGCTTCAACCCGTGGAGGATTCCTTATCTGACGAGGGCGGCGGTAAAATCCATAACCACTCCACGATTGGAGGTTCACCGTCTTCCAGACCCGGATTCCTTATCCAATGGTTCCAATGTTCAATACCCTCACCGTTCCGTAGCCATTTTGGCTCAAGGCAATGAACCGTCCCGACGACCGCGAGTCTTTCGGGGCGATTTCTGAGCGCGAGGGAGGTTCCGCTTTGAGGCCACCTTCCTTTCCAACTTGCGAGTGCTGCCACCGCAGCACCCTCCAGGACCTGCGGGTCACGCCTTCTTCCGAGTCGGTGGGTCCGCCCCCGTCGACTCCTGCCTGCCGCACGCCCGCGGCTGAGCAGCACGCCCGCCCGCTCCAGCGATGGGGCCCAAGGCCGTGCCTGGCTTCGTCGTGTGCACGGGCTGCCGCTACCGCTGGAACTTCCGCAAGAACGCGGAGTGCTGGCAGTGTGGGATTGGGCTGGAGCTGGCGCCCTCGAAGCCTTCGCCCCGCGTCGGGGTCTGGGCGGATGGAGGCGGCGGCGGCTCCCCGCCCGCGCATCGTGGAGGCGGCGGCGGAGGCTCACCGAGGGATGGCGCCAAGGGCGGCAAGGGCGGCAAAGGCCGAGGTGCAGCCTCCCGTGGCGGCGGAGGCGGTGCAGCCTCCCGTGGCGGCGGCGTCGGAGGCGCGGGCGGCCGTGGTGGAGGCGCCTTCCCGAAGGCCCCTTGGTCGGCCCTGCCCGAGAGCGAGCTCGACGCGCTCCTCGCCTGCGGGGACCCCGCCATCGCGGCCAGGCTGCAGGAGGCGGTCCGCGACGCGCGGTGCTTCGTCGCGCCCGCGGCCGCCCCAGCGCCAAAGCCACTCGAGCAGCGGCTGCAGTCCGCCACGGCGAAGCGGATCAACCTCCAGCGCCAGCTCGACGAGGCGGCGGATGCGCTCGTGGCGGCGGAGGACCACCTCGCCCAGTGCCGCGGCTGGCGCGACGAGGCTGCGGTCAACCTCACGGAGGCCAAGGAGGAGGAGAACGCCCTCTTGCGCCAGCGGGCCCAGGCGGCTGGCGTTGTGGGCGCACAGCCCGACGGAGCGAAGCAGCTCACCTTCAACTTCGACGCGGAGTCGTTCGACAACTTCGCGGAGCTGGAGGAGGAGGCGCAGGCCACCCTCAGGCGCCTCTGCGAGGAAGGGCTCCAGATCATGCAGGGCGCGCAGGCTACGTTCGAGCGCAACTGCCAGGAGCACCAGCAGCGCATCAAGCGCCAGATCGAGGAGGAGGTGGCCAAGAAGCGCAAGCGCTCCGAGGAGGGGCCTGCAGCAGCCGAGGCCGCTGGCACCCCCGAACAGGGTGCTGCATCCCCGCCTCAACCTTCAGGACAGGCGGCCGCCCCTGCTGCCGCCGCCGCCCCAGCCGCAGGCGCTGCGCCAGGAGCTGGACCCCCCCCAGCGGCCGCTGTGGAGAGCCGAGCGGCAGACGAGGCGGCCCGCCAGCGCGCAGCCGACCAGAAGGCCGCTGCGGCGGCCCCTCCACCTGCTGCTGGCGCTGCTGCTGGCAGTGGCCAGACCTGCGGGTAGCACCCTGCTGCCAGGAGGCGGCCCCGACGGTGCGGCGCCGCCCGCCCCAGTCGGGGCGGAGGAGGCAGAGGCGGCGGAGCCCAGCCGCCCCGAGGCGGCTGCGCCATCGAGAGGCGGCCTGCACGCCTACCTGGCGGCCAATGAGCAGGCCGACGCCTGGGAAGGGCTTCCCTTCAGAGTGCCGCTGCTGCGCCAGGACCGGCGCTTTGATGACGCGCGCCACGACACCAAGTTCGAGGCACTCAGCAGCAGTCCAGAGCCAAGCGCGGCGGCGGACTTGGCTGGGCCCGACCGAAGGACTGGCAGTCCTCAGCCCAGCCAGGGGCCCATAAGGAATAGTGGGTACCCATTTCAAGTTGACCAGGCTACGGGCGAGGGCGTGAGACCCCCCGAGGTTCGGAGACCCAAGGCGGCGAGCAGCCGCCCGCCTGGCGGCCGCTCGGCCGCCGCGGCAGTCGTGAAGCCTGCGGCGCAGCCTCAGCCTGGTCGACCGCAGGTCAAGCCCCTCCAGCTGGCCAAGCTGATCAGGCCAGTGGGAGCGAAGCGAGCCAGCTTCGTAACACTGAACGGCTCGACCTGGACAGAGACGCAGGTAGAGCTGGAGCGGATCCAGGACGAAGGAGGAGGCGACGACGTCATCCTGGTGCAGGAGACACGCTTCACCTCCAGCCAGAAGGCGACTGACGCCTGCAGCTGGGCCAGGCGCAACTGTTCCAGCGCTGCCTTCGGCAGCGTCCACAGCACGGGGCAGGCGGCCCAGGCGGTCTCGGCGGGCGTCGGGGTGCTGACGTCAAAGTCTAGGGGCGTGGCGGCTATCGACCACGACTGGCACCAGCACAGTGCCCGCATCCTGGCCCGACGGGTGGCCTTCGGCGATCTCGTGGTTACGGTGGTCAGCGCCTACCTCGAGCACACGACCAGGATGGCTGGCTACAACCTGGAGCTGCTGTCGGACCTCCAGGAGTTCCTGTTCAGCCTCCACGAGCCGTTCATAGTGGGGGCCGACTGGAATATGGACCCCAGCGTGCTCGCCGCCTCTTGGTGGCCACGGGCTGTGGGCGGGGTGGTAGTCGCGCCCGCGACCTTCACCTGCGGCGACCAGATCTACGACTTCTTCGTGATCTCCACGGCGCTCGCCGGCCTCAGCCCGAAGGTGGAGGTCATCAAGCCCACTACACTGAACCCGCGCGCACCAGTGCGGCTCACGTTCAGCGAGCTGGGCAGCAACGCCATGGTCTGGGTCCTCAAGACCCCCAGGGTCTTCGAGGTGGGCTCGGAGGTCTCGGCCGAGCAGCGTGAGATATCCCTGCAGGCGGCGACCCAGATCAGCTGGACAGCCCCCATCACCGACAGAGACGGCACGCCCGATGCGGCGATCAAGGAGTTCTTCGAGGCCGCGGAGCTCCACCTGCTCGACCAGTTCGGCATCTACGAGGGAGAGAGGTACCAGGGCAGGGCCAAAGGTCCCCGCACCGTCAAGAAGAAGCTGGCGGACCTGCAGCGCACGGAGGCTGTCAGAAAGCTCAGCCCCATCACCAAGTGCTGGCTCTGCCTCGGGAGGATCGCCAGGCAGCTCAGGGCGGCTGCTGCGGTCTGCTCACCCCCTGTGGGGCACGTCGGCTACATCAAGCACCTGGTGCAGGTGGCAAAGAGCTTGGGGCCCAAGTTCGAGCAGGCGGGTTGCACCATGTTCGATGGCTCGAAGCTTGACTCGCTGATAGACGTGATCCAGGAGCCCACCGAGCAAGGGCAGGCCTTCCTGCAGATGATCGAGATCACGACGGAGAGGCACCGCAAAGAAGACGCCAAGGCGGCCAGGCTGCGCTGGAAGGACTTCGTGGACGAGGCCTTGGCGAAGGGGGCAAAGGGCGCCCACGCAGTCATAAAGGACCGTGACCAGGTGCTGGACTCGGTGACCGCGCGCTGCCCCGACAGCCTGCCGCTCCCAGTTGTTGGCCAGCAAGCCCTGGACCAGATCCTCATTGAGTGGAAGGCCCTTTGGAAAGGTGCCGACGGGGAGTGCAGGTCCAGACCAGCCGACTGGATCTGCTCTATGGAGCTGCCCCCTATCACGGCGGACGACATCCTCGAGGCGGCGAAATCGTTCCCGAAGCAGACCGCTCTGGGCTGGGATGCGTTCCACCCGCGGCTGGTCCTCTCCCTGGGCAGGCCCTTCGCCGAGAGGATGGCAGAGGTGCTCGCGGCTTGGGAGCAGCAGCCGCAGCCCACAGCCTTCTTCACCACGGTGATCGTCTTCCTGGGGAAGCCCGACGGAGGCCGCCGCCCGATCGGCATCATGAGCATGTGGGCGCGTATCTGGAGCAGGGTGCGCCGCCGCTACTGCGCCAAGTGGGAGGCGGACCACTCGCTCCCCGAGGTCTGGGGCAAGGGCGCGAACACCTGCTGTGACAGGGCGGCCTACCTCCACAACCTGGGGCTCGCGCTCGCCCGCCAGCTTGGCTTCGAGGCAGCCTCCGTCTACTTCGACATCAGCAAGTTCTACGAGCGGATCGACCATGACCTTCTGCGCCAGGCCGCGGAGGGCAACGGCTTCAGCGTCGGTCTGCTCAGGGCCCTCTGCGTACTCTACGCTGGGCCGCGCCGCGCCTCGGCGGACGCCGCCATCAGCGAGCCCATTGAGGTCAGCGGCACCATCATCGCGGGCTGCTCCTGCGCGACGACGCTGGCCAGGCTCATGCTGCACGGCCTCCTGCTCCAGGCCAGGGCGCTGCTGCCAGTCGGCAGGGTCGTCAACGTCATCGACGACATAGCAGGCCACGGCATCGGGTCGGCAGCGACGCTCAGCCGAACGATCGCGAGCTTCGTCAGCGGCGTGGTCGAGATGCTGGCGGACAGGCGGCTGCCCATCAACTGGAAGAAGACGAAGGTCCTGGCCTCCTCGGCGGGCCTCCAGCGCCGCCTGCAGCGGGAACCCGACTGGCGGCTCGCGGCCGAGGCCTTTGTCTCGGGCCACCGTGACCTCGGCGTCGACGCCACGGCTGGCAGCCACAGGCGTGTCGCGACTCAGGTCGGTAGAGAGCTCGCGGCGCTGCGGCAGGCCAACAGGCTCCACAAGATCTTCGGGCCTGGCCTTCGGCAGGCAAGGGTCTTGCGCGCGGGCCCCTCAGCCAAAGCCCTATGGGGCTCGGCCTGCAACGGCATCCCGCCTGGCCGCATGAGAGCCCTGAGGCTGGCAGCGGCCAAGGCGACGGGCAAACTGGCTCCTGGGGCTGCGCTGGGCTTCCTGCTGCAGTGCTCGCCGCGAGGCTGGCGCCAGGGCCCGCTAGTGGTGGCCGCGGGCTTGGCCGTCCTAGCGTACACCAGTGTCCGCTGGGCAGGCCAGGCCTCCGCGGCGGCGATCCAGGCCTGCATAGCGGAGAGCGCCAGGATCGTGAGGCTCCAGCGCCCTTGGGCTGCCGCCAGGGACCCGATCTCGGCCTTGGTGCTCACGCTGCAGGTCATCGGCTGGGGCCTCAGCGACGACGGCGACTCCCTGCAGGACGAGTTCGGCTGCTGCTACTCCGTCCTTCGGTACTCCCCCGCCTTCCTTGCGGAGAAGGCCAAGGAGGCGGCCAGGAAGGCGGCAGCCTTCCAGGAGTACGACGCCAGGCCTGATACCCTGTGGCCGTGGCAGCTGCCGCCAAACTGGCGGGCCATCAACCAGCTCCTCGGCGCCGCGCCCACGGAGACGTGGTCCAGCCACCACTGCGGCTGCCTGCGCAGGCTGGCGTCTCTGTCACTCTGGCCGCAGGCCAGGCTGGCCAAGCGTGGCACCGACATCGACGACCGCTGCCTGCTCTGCGGCGAGGAGAGCGGGACTCTGGCCCACCGCCACCACAGATGCGCTGCCTGGGAGGGCTGGCGGCGAGATCGCAGGCCAGCCGACTTGAAGCGAGCTGCCGAGCTGGTGAGCACAATGGGCCACCGCTACGAGGAGCTCTTCTGCCAGGGCCTCTTCGTTGACGCCCAGTACCTGGTGCAGAGGCCGCGCTGGGACCCTCGCTGGGAGCGCCGCTCGCGTGGCTGGGACGAGGGCGCGCTCGTGGTGCCCGCGGGCTCCCTCGTCTTCACGGACGGCTCCTGCGTCAACAACGACTTCCCGATGGTCAGGAGCGCGGGCTTGGCAGTGGTGGTTCTCACGCCCGACGGCGAGTGGTTGGCGCAGGCGTGGGGGGCAGTGCCGCCTGCCCTTTTGCCCAGCCAGACGGCGAGGGCAGGCGAGGACTACGCGGCGGTGGTCGCCCTCACGGACATCGTCGGCCACTGCCATTTCATGATCGACTGCCTCGGCACGGTCGGGGCTTGCAAGGACGTGAAGAGGGCGGCGGCCCCGACGGCCCAGTTTGCCCACCTCTGGGCGAGGGTCGGCGACGCCGCCGAGGGGGTGCACGTGAAGCACATCCCCGCCCACCGTTCTCGGGCGGCTGTCGAGCAGGGCGTACTCTCGGAGGTGGAGCTCTACGGCAACCGCCTCGCGGACCAGCTCGCGAAGGCGGGCGCGGCGCTGCGCGCCATCGCCGACGAGGAGGCCCTCCTGCCCCAGGGCTGCCTGGCCCGCGCCCGTGACGCGGCGCGGTACGCCGCCGAGTTCGAGGTCCAGGCTACGGAGTCGGGCTTGCGGGACTCCTGGCCCATCAGCTCGCTGGAGCTCGTCGACCTCACCCCCTACATGGCGGCGGAGCTCGACGGCGAGACCGACTTCCTGCACGCCGCCGCGGCGGAGCCCGCCCCTGGGACTGGTGGATTCAGCCCGCCGACGTCGCAGTCCCAGGGGCGCGGAGAGCTCGATGTGATGCACGACGCGGAGGTGCGCGGGGCTGCCGCTTCAGCGACTGGCTTCTTGAAGGAGCCCGACGCCGAGCCTGGCGATGACGTCGGCGTAGCGCAGCCCTCGGCGGCTGACGGCGGCCCCCGCCTCGCCACGGCGGCGGCCCTGGCAGCGGTGGCGGCAGCTGGCGCCTCCAGCTCGCGGCCTTCGCCCGCGAGGCGCCGCCCCGCCTCGGCCGAGTCGCCCGCGGAGGTGCTGCGCCGTGTAGCCCAGCGCAGGGCGCAGGAGCATCCGAGGCGCCGCGAGGCCTCGGCGCCCGCGCCCAGCCCGCGCCTGGCGGCGGCGGAGGCGACGAGCAGCGGCCCAGCCCCTGCGGAGGCGGCAGATGCGACCCGTCCAGCGGGATGGAGGGTCAACGGCCACCTCCTCATGGAGTCGCGCGTCGAGGGCGACGTTTCCGAGCCCTTCCTGGTCTGCGCGGCCTGCTGGATGTACTGCCGCCTCCCCAGGTACGCGCGCCGCGGCCTGGGCAAGCCGTGCGGGGCCAGCGCGGCGGCGGGGCAGCCCAAAAGCAAGAAGGGATCCAGAGCCCAGGCGCGGTCGGACTTCGCACGTGGGATCCTGCCAGCGTCGAAGGAGCCGATCGTGCCGCTGGCCTCGCCAACGGCAAGCACGCGCCTGCGCTGGGCGGCGGCACTCCAGGCCAGGCAGGGCCACGGCTCGGAGGTGCAGGCGACCGGGGCGGCGCCCGAGCCAGCGCTGCGGCAGCCTGCTGCAGCCCCGCCCACGCCGCCTGCGGCTGGCGCTGGTAGCCTGGTGGCTGCGCCGCCGAGCGCCACGGCGCCGCGGCGCCTGGCAGCGGCGGCCCCGCGGGCGGAGGCAGCCGAGCCGCGGCGGATCCGCCCAGGGCTCGAGGGCGTCCTCCGAGCCCACGGCTTCGCGGACGCTGCGGCGGCCCGCGAACGCGGGCGAGCCGCGAGGGCGGCGGCCGTCCCGCCTGCTTGAATTTGTTCGCATGAAACCGTGGACCTTTGTCCGCGCCCACAGAGATAAAAAAATACCCTCACCGTAGCAGAGTCAGGGCTCGAAGCACGCATCAGAAATTCGAGAGGGAGCGACCAATGAGGACCTGAAGGGCCACGTGGCCGCTCGCAACGTTTGCATTTCTGTCACTGTGCACAGCATCGTGCACACATCAAGACACTGCTATTCAAATTCGACGCTGGAAATGGGTGATGTGCGAGTCCTTTCCAGCCGCCTTCTTTGCAGCTTTCACGGTGTGGATCTGTTTTGTATTCGCCGTGTGTCCCACGAGGAGAAGCGCATGCCCGAGCTGTTCCTGGGGATGTACGAACTCATCCTCGTGCGAAGGTTGCTCCTTGGCTTCCCGCTCGGCGGGTTCTCGCCTCTTGGATGTCATGAGGACATCTCTGCCGCAGGCAGCGAGAAGCTAGTCCCAAGAGGAGGGGTATGAACAGGCGGTGGTAGAGGAGGAGGAGGAGGAGGAAAAAGAAGAGGAGGATGGGGAGAAGTATGGGGAGGACTTGGTCGAACCAAAATCTGGGTAAGTCCGTTCAGGCGAACGGATAATTCTGCGAAGCTGTGACAAGCGCATGCGCACTGAAGACTGGTAACGCGGCACACGTCTCTGCACAGCCGTCTTCCAGCTGTCAGCTGGGATGATCGCCTTCTATTCGCCAGCAGGTCCGCAAGCCTCGCAGGCAGCAGCGGCGTGTCTGCCGACTTGCGTTGGGCGACCTCTCTCCCAGATGCCGGGCGGCTTTTCAGAATGCAGCAAGGGGAGGAAGGAGCAGCAGTGCTGTATACACAAGGATGACGTGCAGGGGAAATCATGCGCAGAGATGTTGACACCAGCAGCCGTGAGTCGCACGGACGACGGAGCATGTGACTGCGATGGGGACGTGGCGCGTTGGGCAGAGCCAGTGCTCAGCGTGACTCGCGAACGAAGTTCAGCGTCGGTCGTGATGCCAAGCTCATTTTGCTGTCTGTACTTGGCTTTGGAACGCCGTTCCCAGGCTCCTAGCGCACGCAAGGTGTCAACGCGTGAGGGCCACCCCCCATTACTCTGCCCAGGCGGCCTCCAATAGCCAGGATGCGGCGAGATGGTGACAGTTATGCTCGAATGTCCGCAGCATTTGGGATGTCGAAGGACTTTTGACTGTGATACAGGCGTCTGGCGTGTTTTGCAAAGCCTCCTGTCATTGTTTCTGCGCCTTTTGCTGCTGCTCCTCCTCCTCCTCCTTTTCCCTTTAAGCGGATGGACATGCAAGTAAGACAGCGCGAACCACCTAACATGCAAGGGAGGCACAAATGGCGAACAAGAAAAAAGAGACGACGAGGACGACCAGGAAGCTGGGGAGAGAACAGGCGCCGCCAGGGGGGTCCCGCGCGGATCCGAGAAATCCGCGCGGACCTCCGAGTTTTTATGTTTATGTCATTCTTCGTTCCCCTAGGCAACGACTAGTGACCCCCCCCCCCTCGACCCAAAACTCAAAGATGGAACGCGCGGAGGACGACTGCGGTCGGAGTGCAATTCAGCAGACCCGCCGCCCCCCGCTGCGGCGTGTTGTTCTTTCCCTCCTCTCTTCCCCTCCGGGATGCGCTTCTGCGCTTTTGCTTCAGGTCGCTTGGGCCGCCTGGGATGTCCGCACGGCGCCCTGGCCTCTCTTCCTCCTCCCCCTCGCTTCTCCTTCTTGGACCTTCGAGTTTCCTGGGCACTTCCGTGACGACGGCATTTGGCCACGAAATTGTAAGGCCCATCGATTTCTGGCGGCCGACTTCTTTGGGTGATCTGTTGTGAAGGAGCTTTTGCGTTTAAAGTAAATCTTCCCCCTTCCTCCTTCCTCCATTCCTTGATCTTGCTGGAGATCGTCGGGCTCGCCAGTGCTATTCTGAGCCGCTGTGCCTGGATGAGCATGTCAGGTCAGGGGGAGGGTGGGCACTGGCAAGACTCCTCGCGTCTTGTCCACGAAGGGGCCCGACCATCGGGATCGCTCGCGAAATTGTCGAATGCAGTCTTCCGCTGTTGCACTGTTCGCGTCCTCTTGATGTGCATTCGACCTCAACAGCACCGTTCTTTGTCCTATTACCTGCCGTGCTCCCTCCCGCCTTCTCTCTACTTGAGAAAGGGCCCCAAGAGGGCTCCATCCAAGAGGCTCTACTGAGCTCCACGAGCGCCTCAAGGGGCCTCAAAAAGCCTGCCCCCTCGCTCCTCGCAGCCCTTCGGGCCGCGACTCCCGTCTACCCCCTGCTCAGGCTGCGGCGACCCAAGCACTGGCGCTTAAAGCTGAGGGCCACTGGCGGCCTGAACCAGGACCGACACTGAAGGCTCTCCGCTGCCAGATAACACTCGGCGAAGAGAACTAAGCACAGGCACCGGTCCTGGCAGGGCTCATCCTGGGCCCGGTCTCGGTGCATATGGCTTCCTGGCCAAGCCAGGAGGGCTAAGCCAGGAGGGCGTGTGCATAGGTCCTGGGCCCATGGTGGGCCCTGTCAGGATCGGTGTACGCGCATACTTCTCTTTCCTCTACATCTTTACCTGACGCATGTCGGCTCGCGTGAGCCTCCTGGTTTGCCTGGCGACGTTTTGATTCGCACAAAGGGAAGCCGAGCCAACCTACTCGTCGCCGATCCACGAGGAATGAACAAGTTCACTCTCCTCTGCAGATGCGGCCGTTCGGTTTTCATAGATCTCTGCGGTGTCGGGGGCCACAGCGCCCACGCCGACGTGACGGAAGCCCCCCTGCAGCCGCGACCCCCCGCTCGGACACGCCCTCGCGCCCCTTGCAGAGGTGAGCCCCTGCGGTGGGCCACGGCGAGGGCGGCCGCCGGCAGCTGCGCGCGCGCGCGCCTCGGAGGGCTTCGGCGGAGAGGCGCGCGAGCATGCAGACGCAGAGGGAAGACGTTTGGCACCAATGGTTCGAGGAGGAGATCGACTGCAGAACTCAATTACCCCAGACTTGTTTTTGCCTCAAATCAACGATACATACGCGGGCTGCTCGTAGATCTGCGAACATTTTACGTATTCGTGCAGGTTCGACGAAACAACAAGTTGAGGGTACATCATTTCTGTAGTAGATCTCCTACTCGAATGGTGGGCAGCGTTGTGGGACGTGCAGGAGCAGGCGAGCAGGTGCGGGAGGACGATCGGCTGCGGCGCCGCTGGCTCCCGGCAGCCTGTGCTGCGCTGCGACGGAGACGGAGAAAAGGGAACGAGGAGCCAGCAGACGACGGCGACCGCGCAGGCGGGAGGACGCACGGGGAAGGGGGTAGCCGAAGGTGTGGTCAGGGAGGTCCAGCTTGAAGCTAATATTCCCTGTTCCATTGGCTGTTTAGAGCGAGGTTCCTCACCCCCCACTTCTGTCCCTACCCTGCCTTTTATGGCCCCCCGAAAGCAGCGGCCCTCGCGGTGATCGCGGAATCCCCCTCCCGCCGTAGGTTTGTGCCGCACGGAGCGGCGGCAGCACGGGCGCGGGGTGCTCAAGATTGACGTGCCCCCTGCAGCCACCCGAGGCGCTGGAGACCGTTCAAGGTTGAACCTTTCGCGCGGCAGCGGAAACAAGGGCCCGTACACACGTATGGCATGCTCCTGCCGTATCAGACAGCGGCATTCAGACGTTTGCACGAGCCTAAATGTCATCAGCACCACCACATGCTGACACGATATCTGAGTGCTCAGCCTTCTGTGGTGATTTGGATACGAGTGTGTGTGTGGGGGGGGGGTGCGAAAGAGAGAGAGCGAGAGAGAGACAGAGAGAGCGAGAGAGAGACAGAGAGGGAGAGACAGTGTGTGTGTGTATGTGTTTGTGCGTGCGCCAGAGCTCCTGGTCGGCATCAAACGGTCCGATGCTTGCACGTAGCGGTCTATAACCAACGTCCGTCTAAGCGTGGCCACCGAAGACGCCTACGGCGAACCACCGCCGCCCCCTGCCTTCTGGAAGCGCCTATATGGCAAGACGTTGGGGCAACGTCTGGCCAATATGCTGGACGATTTGTTCTCTCAGCCGTTGTAGAAAATCTCGGGGAAACACTTGGGAGGGAAGACGCATAGCATGAGGAGAGGGAGGAGGATGAGGAGGAGGACCAAGTGGATGAGGATGAGGATGAGGATGAGGATGCTGCTGCTGCTTCTAATGACGATGCCGATGACGATGATGATGATGCTGATGATTATGATGATGATTATGATGATGCTGATAATAGTGATGATGCTGATGATGCTGATGGTGATGCTGATGCTGATGCTGAGGATAACGATGACGATGCTGATGATACTGATAATGTTGATGGTGAGGGTGATGATGATGATGCAACCTATGATGCTGATGATACTGATGCTGATCATGATGCTGATGGTGATGACGCTGCTGCTGTTGATTATGGTGGTAATTAGGAACTCATGCTGCTGATGATGAGGTTGCTGATGCAGCTGCTGTTGCGACAGCTGGTGCTGCTGCTGCTGATGATGATGATGATGGTGATGATGATGACGATGATGATGATGCTGATGATGATGATGATGCTGATGGTGATGATGATGCTGCTGATGCTGATGCTAATGCGGATGCTGATGATGATAATGATGATGATGATGATGATGAGGATGAGGATGATGCTCATTCTGATGATGATGACGATGATGATGATGACCCTGCTGATAAGGTTGGTGATGTTGGTTGAGCTGCTGGTGATGATGATGCTGCTGCTGATGGTGAGTATGATGGTGATCGTGAACATGATGAAGATGCCGATGACGATGACGATGATGCCGCTGCTGCTAATGCTGATGATGATGGTGACGAGGAGGAGGAAGAGTGGGAGGATGAAGGCTGGAGAGGATGGGGAGTTGGAGGATATGGAGGAGGATGATAAGGACGAGGAGGAGGAGGAGGAGGGATGATGATACATACTGATGACGCTGATGCGGTCGATGATGCTGATGATGATGCTGATGCTGTTGACGTCGACGATGCCGATGCCGATTACGATGTTTATGATGCTACTGATAATGCGGATGATGATGACGACGATGCTGATGATGATGGTGATGAGAGTGATGCTGAGAATGTTAATGCTGATGAAGGGTGTGTCGAGTAGGATGACGATAGTGCTGCTGATACTGATGCTGGTAATGATGATGACGTTGACGATGTTGATGACGACGATGATGCTGATGCTGATGATGATGATGATTATTCTGATGATGATGCTGATGATGATGCGGATGATGCTGATAATGATGCTGATACTGATGATGCTGATGATGCTGATGACGAGTATGATGATGACGACGATGATGTGGACGATGCTGATGATGATGATGAAGATGATGACGATGATGCTGATGATGATGAGGCTGCTGATGATGCTGATGACGATGACGAGAGTGATGAGGATGAGGATGAGGCTGAGGATGCTCATGGGGATGGTGATGGGGATGGGGATGGGGATGGGGATGGGGATGAGGATCAGGATGGGGATGAGGATGATGAGCATGAGGATTATGATGAGGATGCAGGGTGCTGCTGCGGCTGATGGTGATGTTGCGATGGTTGATGATGATGCTGCTGATGATGATGGTGCTGATGATGAGGATGATGAGGATGATGCTGTTGATGATGATGCTGCTGATGATGATGCTTCTGCTACCAATGATGATGATGATGATGATGATGATGATGATGATGATGATTCTCATGATTCTGATGATGCTGCTGCTGATGATGATGCTGCTGATGATGCTGTTGATGATGATGCTGTTGTTGATGTTGATGCTGCTGATGATGCTGCTGCTGCTGATGATGCTGATGATGCTGATGATGCTGATGATGATGACGATGGTGATGCTGATGATGACGATAATGCTACTCATGATGATGATGATGATGATGATGATGATGATGATGATGATGATGATGATGATGATGATGATGATGATAATAACACTACTGATGATTATGATGCTGATGCTGCTGATGCGGGATGGTGATGGTGATGCTGCTGCTGCTGTTGCTGCAGATGATGATGATGCTGATGATGATGATGATGATGATGATGATGATGATGATGATGATGATGATGATGATGATGATGATGCGGATGCTGTGGCTGAACATGATGATGATGAGGAGGACGAGGAGGAGGAGGAAGAGGAGGAGGAGGAGGAGGACGAGCAGGATGAGGAGGAGGAGGAGGGGGAGGAGGAGGAGGAGGAGGAGGGGAGGAGGAGGAGGAGGCCTCTCGGGGTTCTTGGGCCTCCCGGGGTCTTCCTGGGGTCCTTGCAGGGCCTCGTAGGGGCCTCTTGGGCCGTCAGGCGCCTTCGAAGACCGTCTTGGGGGTCTGTCTGCGCCGTCTCGGAGTTCTCTTTGGGCGCTGTAGGGCCGTCTTGGAGGTATCTTGGGCCGTCTTGGCGCCCTTTTAGGGCCGTTTTGGGGGCCTCTCGTGTTTGGGCCCTCTTGGGGGCTTCTTGGGCCGTCCTGCGGGTCGCGCAAGCTCGTGTGTATCTGCTGGCGGAGGCCTGTTGCCCTGACAATGCAAGCAATTCGAGCCATCGTCAAGTGGCGAGCGGAGCAACGTCTCCATCAGTGTCCAGTAATCGGCTTTCACCACATCCAGGGCACAGGCACCAAAGGACAACTTACGCACAACAGCAGCTGTTTGGTCAAGCCGCGCACATTGTTCACTTCTAATTCTTCGAAAGTTCTTTGATTTTCTGGGGGGCCAAGATCCTTTCACTTCTAATTGTTCTATCCTGGGCCTCTTCCTGGCCACTAGGGGGCCAGGAACAATCAGAAACGCGCACAATGAGGAATGAGCACGATTAGAATGAACGACGTGTATAATCGAGGAGACATGTGATGTACCACGGCTTGATCTACCCCTGAACCGAGGCTCACGCGCCACCGGCACGAGTTTAGGCAGCAGTCGCTTCCGAAGGCGGCGTCTCGATGCTCTGCCAGTCTGTGAGGGGTAATTTTAAAGCGGGCGCGTCCCTCTACAGGAGGAATCTATAAAACATAGTAAGAAAATCGTCGGGGGACCATTTTTTGAATATGTTTTGACCATGTTCGGGGTATTTTTTATTTCTCGCCCAAAATCCCCCTGTAGGGGGGCACGCCCGAGCTAAGGGTAATTCTTGATGTCGAGTTCTTGCATCGGCTAGGATCCTTGGTGGCCGATTTCAGCAATTCCCCATAGAAACCACCACGTTTCCATTGCAAGGGCTCTACCAACGTAACCAGTGTTTTGAGCTGGAGTGGGTAGTAGTATGTAGCCAGTTCGGCAGCACGCGCGCGCTTCACTCCCGCACTGAAAACCGCAGTAGGGAGGCCGAACGGGTGGCAGTGGAGCGCTCAGTTCATAGACAGCCGTTCTCGGGACGGCGTTGCTTGCGAGTCGGACTTGGAACGTTACCCCCCTCCTTCCTCTTCCCTCCTTTGTCGTCGTCCTTTTCATCCTTACGTGCCCTTCCTCCTGCTGTTGCTCCGTCTCCGCTTCGTTCCCGCCCTTTTCCCCCTCGGGCCTAGGGCTTTCTCACGACAAGAGGGTCATCCGTAACAGGTCTGGCCAACTGGTCGGCTCAGTCGTTGTAGGTGGGTTGGTACGTTGCAGGGTAGTTCGGGGAGTTTTGCCATATACCCCGAGGAGGCCTGCAGAGGGAGTGCTACTCTTATGGCTGCTGCTGCTCCTGCTGATCGGTAAGAGAGCATGTGCGTGCGAAGCAATTGTCCCAGGCTGGTGGGTTGACTCCTCGTGCAGCTTGCGCGTGCCTTGCTGGCTCAACGAAGGCGCAACTGTAGCAGATTGTTAGTTTGGCTTCTCCCCTCCGCCAGCGGTGGCGTTACGCAGGATGGCTGCGGGGCACGGCGCAACCGCGGCCAAGACGGGCCAGGCTGGCGTTGCTGGCAGATTTGTTTTAGTGAATGGGCTCTTGGCCACCTGCACATGTGTGTCAGTTGTCTTGCATCAGCCTTTGGCTGATGGATGCTTGCTGTTTTTACGTGATTGCGAGTGCACGCGATTCCGCCTCCGTCTGCGCCTAGCACGTATACACATGCTGTCTTACTTCCAAGCGCGAGTGCTAGTGCGGTTGCGCAAGGTGGTAATCAAACTGGTGATGCCGATCCATCTGCCGACCTTCGCTTCACTGGTGTGCGCTGCAAATGGCAAACCGAGGGCGTCCATGCTTGCCTCATCTGATTGCGTTGCCGTGAGAGGGAAGCACAAGGATGTTGACCGTGCCCTTGATGATTGCACCTGCTGATGGTAGTAGTGCTGCTTTTATTGAAACTTCTGCCCGCATGCATATATTTGCGTATGCATGTGTATATAGGTATGTTGGTTTGTACAACGACATTGGTAACGATGCGTATGCGTATGCTGTATATCTGTATATATGTATATATGTATGTATGCATGCATGCATGCATGTATGTATGTATGTATGTACATATGTATGTATGTATGTAATGTAATGTAATGTAATGTAATGTAATGTAATGTGATGTAATGTAATTGTAATGCAATGTAATGTAATGTAATGTAATGTAATGTATTGTAATGCAATGTAATGTAATGTAATGTAATGTAATGTAGTGTAGTGTAATGTAATGTAATGTAATGTAATGTAATGTAATGTATGTATGTATGTATGTCTGTCTGTCTGTCTGTCTGTCTGTCTGTATGTCTGTCTGTCTGTCTGTCTGTCTGTCTGTCTGTATGTATGTATGTATGTATGTATGTATGTATGTATGTAATGTTTTGTGCTTGTTCTCTCGCATGTCTGTGCAACGCGTACTCCGCGATTGGGGCTTGAGTACTTCAATGCGCGCTGGATTCAGGGCTCCGTCTGTGTAGTTGGCTGATACGGTCGTGCGCCTATCGCGGGCAGCGCTTACCGCTTGCTCGGGGAGCATTTCGCCCTGAGGTCGAAGTTTGTCGGGCGGGGCTGGCCATCATCATTCTAGTTGCGGTGCCTATGTTTGTTTGAACCTCTCCCTTCCCCGCCCCCTCTCCATTCCTCGTCCACCTCTTCTTTTTCCACAGTCTTCGTATTCATCGTCCACCGCTGAAATAGGGCACTCACCAGTCGGATCCGAGGCCCAATTTCGCCCTCGATAATTTAGAACTATCTTGCACCATGGATGTTCAGGCCGTCTCTTGATCCGGAGGCGGTGCATCTTGTGCTTTTATATGTCCGTGTTTTGATTTGCTTTCGCAAGTCCGCGGCGGTGTTGCGAGCGGGCCTCATTGTAGTTCTACCACGCGCGGGGAATATAATGGCCGCCGCTGCGCGCATTGCTTTACCAGGGCCACGCGGCGGAGGGTCGACGTGGGTTTTCTTTGAGTTTTTTCGTTTGGATAAGAGTAGGCCAGGAGAGAAAACAAACGACAGTTCCAATCCACATTTTTACGTATTGTGTATTCGTTTGTGGAGTCGATTATTTAATGCACATTCGTGTTCGTAAAGAAAGTACGAGCGTTATATAACACGAAGCGCTTGTTGTCTAACAGCTGTATGCTTTTGTCATTTCGTTCATGTTAGTAAGTCTTCAAATAGGCGCCGCCGTGGGATCCAGTTGTCTCGTCGTCGCGGCAGGGGGCACGGTCACAACGGCAGTGGGCTCCACCGGGGAGGGGACGGAGACGTAATCGATGAGAGAACGGCGAGGAGACACTCGGAAGCTTCACGCACGTTGTGCAGCCTGGAGTGAAGGGGTCTGCGCGGCGCCATGGCAGGCGGGCTCCACGCGAGGGTGCGGTTCGAGACATTAGGGGGCCACATGCGAACCCTACCCCTACCCCCCACGATTTCTGAGGGGGAGGGTGGGGTTCACTTCGCTCGGGAGCTCCCGATCGAAGTGAACCCCACCCTCCCCCTCAGAAATCGTGGGGGGTAGGGGTAGGGTTCGCATGTGGCCCCCTAGACATACTTGTCCAAATGAGTTCCACATTGCTTCAGCGAGGTGCGGGGCCTTCGATCTCATTGCTCAGACACTTCGGGTTCGGGATGGGCTCGCGGTTTCGTAGGTCCTCCCGTGGCTGCTCCCCGAACGCTCGTGCACCCCGGCGCTGGAGGGGCCCGAGGAGGGGCGTCGTTCCTCACGTGACGTTCTGCATGGCAGCACGGTGATCAGGAGGGAAAAAATACACAGACACAATTGATCGTCGATTCCCAGGAACATACGCGAAAATCTGGGAAGTGTGGGGGGGGGGAGACAGAAACCCAGAAAATGTGTGAATTTTGGGGAATCCTATTCTGTGTGTGTATTTATTTGTGTGTCCCAGGGCCCCTTCAGGTGACTGTACTCAGGCCACCCGCGGTGACGCAAAGAGAATCGCGCGTCGCGCGTCGCGGTCTGGGCCAGAGCGGCTGTCGTCCTCCACGGGGGTGGTGCGAGGGTTCGGTGGGCGCGAGGGCGTCGCGCGCCGCGGGGCGCGAGGCGCGAAGTAGAGTGAACCTAGGTCCTCCTCCAACCTGCACCTCGCGCGCATCGCCTCCTTAGTGGCGGAATCGTGCGGCCACGCTATTGACGGGTGCATGTATGTATGTATGTATGTATGTATGTACGTATGTATGTATGAATGAATGTATGTATGTACGTGCGTACGTACGTATGCATGTATGCATGTATGTATATCTGAATGTACGTACGTATGTACGCTTACACACGTATGTACAGGTGTACGTATGTATATGTATGTATGCATGTATATATGAGCGTATTTATCTATGTATGTATGCATGCATGCACGTATCTATATATATATATACTTATGTATGCATGTATGTATGTATGCATATATGCATGCATGCATGCATGCAGACATGTATGCATGTATGGATTTATATCGGTATGTAGGTATGCCTGTATGCATGTATGCATGAATCCATGTACACATGTGTATATGCATGTATGTACGTATTTACGTACGTATGCACGTTTGCATGTCTGCCTGCATGTATGCATGGATGTATGCAGGTAGGAGTGTACATCTTTACGTACATGTGCACATCTACAAACACACACCATAATCTCTCTTGCGCAAGCTGACATTGCTTCGAGGTCGAGTTGTTGGCTGGCTGCTCCCCCCCCCCTGCGCCTGCAGCGGGGCCGCGGCCGGGCCCCGCTGCTGGGGCTGCTGCTCTGCGCCTGCGCCGCCGTGGCCGCTCCCTCGGCCGCCTGGGCGGGGCCCGCGGCGTCCAGGCCACCCCGCAGCGACGGCGACATCGACGACGAGGCGGAGGCTGGAGGAAGGGGGCTGGAGGAAGGAGGCCGGAGGAAGGAGGCTGGAGGAAAGAGGCTGGAGGAAAGAGGTTGGAGAAGTTGGAGGAGGAGGAGGAGGAGTGAGTGGGCGTATCTGTAATCTTGGCTTCCTCCTCGGCTCCGCCCCCCTCCCTCCTGGCGTGGCCAGTCCTTCTTTTCTCCGCGTGTTGCAGATCATTGCCGCATTTTGGCTGCTCTTACTACACAGTGCGCGCGTGGTTTCACGGTTTTTTCTTTCCAGGATCGCAGCGCATGCGCTCCTGCGTCCTCGATCTCAGATCGATCCGGCCGCCTTAATACTTTCAACCCTGCATGCCACCGCGCGTCCTCGAGGACTCCCTTCGGGGTCGTTTTCATTTTCGTTCGCCGCACCCCGTCTTAGTATTGAGCGCGATTGGTGTCACATCGCTGGCGGAGTTGAACAAGTGTGTGTGTGTGTGTGCGTGTCATCTTCGAGCTTGCTGGGGCCGCTTCATTGTGTGGTCGCGGAGGGCTCCCACGCATTTACACACCAATCATCAGTGTTGTTGGACGTGCAGGTGGCGTCGCCACTGCTGCTGGGGCAGCGGTCCATCGGTCCTCGTACGAGGCTCGTCCACGGCAGCCACGCGCTTCCCATATGCTCACATGCCGCCGGTCGCCAAGCCACTTGCCTGTTTTCCGCTCGTTGTCTGATATTTGCCACACTCTCTCTCTCTCTCTCTCTCTTTCGCCTTGGGCCTCGCGGCGTGGGCGCACATCTCAGGGGGGGTGAGCTTTGGACCGCGTGCCGTCCCCGTCCACCCCTTCGGGGACGTCGTGAGCCCCGAGCCCGTGGACACAACGCCCCTGCCCCATGGGGCCCTGCACCGCCCAGTGGATTGCGCCCAAAAGCAATGGTGAGGCCCCCCACGCGCATTTACCAGTGCGGATCTCCCTGCTCTCTGGGCGCTCGCGGAGGTACTGCAGCTCTGGCACTCTCCCAGGCGACGGCGCTCCAGGCCTAGATGACCGAGCTGGATGCTTCATCACCTAGGGATTGCTGGAATGCAGGGGAACATGCGCAAAACGAGTAGTCGCTCGCAACAGCAGATTTCCGTAAGGTTCTTCGGTAAGGTCACGGAGTTCCCACGGTGATTCACAGGACCTCAAGGGTCTCTGGGGTGCCGCGGCAGTCGACCAGCTGGCCACAATGAGCTTGGTACCAAGTTTGGCATGGGGTCCCCGCACACAGACCAGCGATGCGCCTCTGCTTTATCGCCGACCTCCAAATTGGATCGTGTCCTCTTGCGATTCCCGTCCCCCGTCCCCCCTCACCCTATCACATGCAATGTGAGGCTTAAGACGAACGCCTGACATGGATGGGGACCAACAGCTTTTCGAGCTCAGCTTGCAACTTGACTTAACGGCGGGCGCGTCCCCGAGAAAAGGAGTAGCAGACACTTGCATGATCAGCCGCCCCGGTGGCCGCGGGATTGCGGAGGCGTCGGTGGGGGCCGCCTCGGCTGGGGCCTCGGGGAGAACTGTGAAGAGGACCACTCGAGGGTCGGGGGTTGTTACAGGTGCCCCTGGCTCAAGGTGCCCCCAGCTTGTCGCTCCATTTTGGAGACCCCATGGGGCCCCTTGGGCCTCGTGAGGGGTGCTTTGGAGGCCGTGGGGGCCTTCTTGGAAGTACTGGGGGCACCTCAGGCCAGAGGCACTTGTGGCAACACTCGAGAGGGGGGGGGCAGGGGGGCATAACGAGGCGCCCGGCTCTCCCTCGCCGCGGGCCTGGCCGGGAGAAGTTCTCACGCCTCCCAGCCTGTCGGTTGGCCGGCCCTCGCACAGGGACATCCGCGCGGTCCGCCCCGATATCTTCGGCGGGCTTATGGGCCAGGAGTGGTCGCCAAGCTACGGCGCAAGGGGTCGTACCTCCTCCCCCCGTTCCTCCGCTCCCTTCGCGTTTGTACCGTGCTGTGAGCTCATTGGGCTCAAGCGAGTGTGGTCGACGCTCGTGCTCGTTGTGCGATGTAAAAGTGCGAAGCCCCCTCGGCCCAGCCCCTCCGAGATAATGCCTTCGTATGATGGACACGGTGGCAAGCGGAGCGAGGTCGCGAGCGGGATGGACCCTGGAACGTACGCGACGACAGAGAAGAGAAAATACGCCAACACGCAGGCCGACGAGAAAATGACAGTCCCACCCCAGCCCACAGCAGAATACTTGCGAGCCGCTGTCGCGGCAATGGCCAGCAGTCCAGCCTGGACGGCACCCGAGAGGCAGCCGTCACACATTCAGTATCACCCGCCAGACCCTGGACCTCGAGGCCAGACCCGTGGTCGACAACTCTCGGGTGGGAACCAGATGCTTGGACAAGAGCTCCCGGTTGGAAGAAGTCTGGGGGTTGGAACGACATGGCGAGTGAATGGTGGCAAGATGCTCCAGACTTATGGGACGAGGATGAACAAGCGGGGGCATTGAGATGATGCTTGCACATCGGGTTGGGAAGCCCCGGCAACTGCCTGGGCCTTCCAGCGCAGGGACTTCGGCACCTCCCCGCTCTGTCTCGGGTTCGAGTACCTGGAGCCCTTCAGAATGAGCCTCGCGTCCTGGGCCAACAGAACAATAATCCAGCTGGACAGAGAGCAGGACAAGTTCTAGAAGGGTTGCCCGTGGAGGGTCAACATCGATTCGTGTACGTTCGAGACCAGCTAGGTGAATCGGTGGAGTAGGCAATTGTGAGCCACCTCGGGATTTTGAGCGGACAGTGACCAGGAGATACAGGACGTGACGCGCACAACGGAGTTCTGTTCAACTATGCCATCACGAGAGATGAGTCGCTCACCGAATATGTGCTTCGACGGGATCTAGAGACGGAACAGGCAAAACAGTTAGGATTCGTGTTGCCAGGCAGTGTGCGTGCCAGGTATGGATAAGAAGGAGCTCAGTTGACAGCACAGAAATTCATCAATATCAAAACATTAGCTGTGGTAAGTCGGATGCCTCATCTATGCGCCAATCCGCCACCGCCTGAGATCGATGTGGAAACGTTCTTCGCCGACGCCGTCGGCTTTTTGGAGCTCCCAGAAGGCGACGCGGAAGCTTTCCTGACCGCCTTGGATGAACAGGACCTCGACGATTCAGAGCTGATGGTCTTGTTAACCGCCGTGGTCGGATAGAAACTCGGCAGAGAAGCGGCGCGCGTGGCAGGAAACGCGAAAGATGAAAGCCAACGGGAAGATGGGCCGCGACTTATTCGTGAGGAGACGAGCCAGTCGACCAGACTAACCCAGGCTCGAGAGGGTCACCGGCGGCGACCAGAAGCGATTGTCATGTTGTGCCAATTGTGGTGAACGTGGGCAACGAACAGAATCATATCGCGAGCAATTCAAATCAAAGGCAGACCGTCTTGCAGAAGAGAAGCTTGGAAGCTCCCGTGTGGCAGCCCCCTCGTGGCACTTCGAGAACATGAGCGACAGCACGTGCCAGTTTGACGGCGTAGAGGTCTACTCCGGTTGCTCTGTGATGGAATGGAGTGGCCTCATTCGATAACTGAAAGACCCTGATGGTGAAGCTCGCGCTTCGGGACTTGGTCGACCGCGCCCTGGTGGGTTCCGCAGCCCGACAGGCGCTCATCGGTCAAGAAAGTTTAATGTTGCTGTCGGCAGTGATCAAGAAGACTGGTGTCGGGTTCGTTGAGTTCGTCATCTCGGGTGATCGGTGCCCCCCGCTGCTGCCAGCTAGACGTTTCGAGGGATGCGACACCGTGGTCGACTCTTCGACCATTGTGGAGAGCGAGTGGCGCGCCCTCTTTTTCGACGTGGATCCGATCCTGTCATCGGTCCGCCCGCCTGATCTGGCGCAACGTAGATGACTTCCTTCCCGCGTGACCGCGTCGCATTGCAGCGACTGCCGGACGAGCGCTCGAAAGGGCCGCCAGATGCAGGGCCAGGAGGGCCCAGACGGCGATCGGACCGTGGGGCAGACTAGGGGGACTTGCTAGCGTAGTTCCAGGCCAGTTCGCGATAGTCGGGCGAGGTCAGACACTTCCCCATGTCTCTGTAGGCTCTTGCCTCCAGAGATCCCGAAGCCCCCGACCCCTGGGCATGTGGGGGCAGCGGGCCAGGCGTTCCTGGGTCCGTGGCTATTTTCTCCCCAGCTTGCCCGGCGTCAAGTTCTGGGCCAAGAAGCCGACGGTCAAGACAGGGCTGCTCAGGCTCAGCGATTCCTGCGCGGAGGTCGGGGGCTCTCCCGAGCGTGGTCGGGGGCGGCCCGATGATCGAGGATGGATGGGGGGGGGCTCGCGGGCAGAGGAGATGCTGGCGGCGGGGGCGCCGACGCAGGAGGAGGTCAAGATGCTGCGCCGCGGGAAGTTTCAAGTCGACCCCGGTCAGGCATGTTGGCGCTCGGTATCCGTGCAGATTTAGGGTGCGACGAGGACGTGCCAGGACGCGCGCTCGGTGGCGGTCGAGGTTCCGGCGCTCCTCCAGGGCGGCGAGAAGGTGGGCCCCGAGGAGTGCCCCCACCCGGCGATGGGCCCAATGGTCTGGTGCCAACCCGAACAGCTCTTGAGTTATTCCCAGATGTGCGGCGCGGCGTGGACCTGGAGGTCCATGTCGGAGCCCGAGAAGCAAGGGGCCCGCATCCGCAAACAGGTCAAGGCGAGGTCCGCCGTGATCCGCAAGAATGAGAAAAATGGTGGAGCGTGAGATCGCAGATTGCTGGGCCCTGCAGCGCGTCCCGGACAGCCTGTGGGTTCCGACGGGCGAGGGCAACGTGCCGTGCAAGCCCACTTCGACCCAGCAGCCGGCCGGGCCGGCCCGCGTGGCGGGCCCCCCCGCGGCGTCGGAGCTCCACCCAGTGACCCAGACCGAGATGTCGCGCTGTTAGATGTGAAGAGCAGCATCGAGATCCAGCAATGGTTGAGGGAACATCTGGGATCACGCGAACTGGCTGCTGAAGGAGGATCACGCCGCTGCGGCGG